GAAATGCAAAAAAAAAAAAAGCAAACAGAGACTGCAAGACCCATTGGAAATGAGGAGGGAACCCAAAAAGCATACAAACCTGCAAGACCTATTGGAAATGGGAAAAAAGAAAACCAAAAAGCATACAAACCCTGAAAGACCCATAGGAAATGGGGAGGACCCAACAACAAAGACTGCAAGACCCATCATAGCACAGAAACATAACCCCCCAGCCCAAAACCACACTGCAAAACCCACCCAGAACAGTTTTTAAAAAGTAGAAAGCAGCACTTTACCTTACCAGGTAGTCCGAAGCCTCCTCCGATTGCACATTCTCTAACTGCTGGCGCGAAAGAGCTATAAAGAAGCAGCTTCTTTGCCACCAATGGTTAGCAGTTTGAATTCCCCGCCTTTTTTCCCTGCTTTTTCTTTTATCATAACCTGAAGCTCCGGTCGCAAGTCGAAGCAAAATTTTGTGGCCAGAGCTGGTCGTAACTCGAAATGATCATATGTCAGGATGTTCGTAAGTCGGGGCACTACTGTATACTGTACGAATCTAGCATTTTTGTCTTCTTTAAGCTTTTTTTTATATCATTCCCTAGCAATTCAGTTAGTGCTGAACAGGGCATGCTTTATGATTTATTGGTTTAAGGTGTGTACCAGCAAATATTAAATCGTTTTAGTTTATTGTTTCAAATTATTCTGAGCAATCACTTGGCTGCTTTCTGAATTGCCTTTTTTAGCCTAGCAAGAAAGAAAACCTTGACTCAATTGTACAGCCTTTGCAGAAGCGGAATGCACACGGATAGCTTTAAATTCGATGTTGATAAAATCCTATCTACGTTAAATTGTTTCATATACGTAACATTCCATTTCTGTAATTAATAAGATAATGATATTTCCCATTATTTTCCAAGCCTTGCTCATTAAAAAAAAACCCTGTCTTTTGATGCAGATCTTAATAGTTGGGTCTGTATGTGGAGAGCGTGCCCGAATTTATCACGATTTGAAACACTTTAAATATAAATTATATCAAAATTGCTTCTTCGTTATGAAAAAAGAATCTCAAGATGAGCCTGTCAAAGATACAGTGGATAGAGTTTTCAGTCTACTAGATGACGATGGCTGGATTCAAAAGGTACAGAAAAATTGATTAGCAAATTTCATTACTTTGACAATGAATTGTTGGTGCTTTGGTGAAGAATAACAAGGATTACTGAGGTGGGGAAAGTGAAGAGTACATTTAACACTCATATAGTTCTAGAAAAAAGTGACTGAAGTAGTCCCTCTTTGGGTACCAGTACTACTTAGCTCTTTATCTGCTTTGGATATTAATAGTATATTTTTGCTAGGAATGCAACAGAGAGACTGGACTCTTATTAGCGATCTGGTTTATCACCAGAATAATTATCCAGTACTACAGTTCTAACTCTATTCCTTGGAGAGAACTTCCCTTTGAAAGTACAGGGCTTTTCCAGCAGTTTTACAGTTTCACCTTGTGCTGAGGCACAGAAATCCAGAAACAAAAAGCTTTGGGGACCGAGTAAGAGACCTGGGGATTGTGTTCTTTATTTCTCCTTGCTAGCTTTATCCTGTTGAAGTAGAGCATCCTGTTGCTTTCCGTAATTACAAGCCAAAGTAGGCCTTTTTATTTTCTAGCAGGTTTCCTAATTCAGTTGCTAGTTCTTTGCTATCTCTATAAAGGTAAAGGTAAAGGTTCCCCTTGACAATTTTTGTCCAGTCGTGTTCGATTCTAGGGGGCAGGGCTCATCCCCGTTTCCAAGCCATAGAGCCAGCATTTTGTCCGAAGACAATCTTCCGTGGTCACATGGCCAGTGCGACTTAGACACGGAATGCTGTTACCTTCCTACCGAGGTGGTCCCTATTTATTCGCATTTGCATGCTTTCGAACCGCTAGGTTGGCGGGAGCTGGGACAAGCGTCGGGAGCTCACTCCGTTGCGTGGATTTGATCTTATGACTGCTTGGTCTTCTGACCCTGCAGCACAGGCTTCTGCGGTTTAGCCCACAGCGCCACCACGTCTCCTTGCTATCTCTATAGCAGTTTTATATTACTGACAAAATAAACTTTTCAATCAGATTTCTTCCGTTACAGTGCATAATAGAACTAACAGTCACTGAAATTGAAGAAAGGGCATTTAATATTTGTCTGGTTACCTATGTAGGATTCTGTCCACATTAGCCTTCTCAGTAAAGTTTCTGGATTTCCAAAGAAGCTGGACTTACTTTCCACTCATGTGTGCAACAATGTGTGTAAAAGGATGGATTTTACCAGGTGCAGTCTTCCCAGTACATTATGGAAGGAAGCAGCCCCAGCTAAAATTGCTCACGTTGTTCTGATCTTAAAACCCAGGGTATTTATTGGAAGCCAGTATTGACTGGCAATATTTCTTTCCTGTTGTAGCAGACTATTCCATGTCATTTGCTTATTTGTGTTTGAGTTTAGTATAGCATCTTGCTTTTTCCTATTGTTTCAGCCTTCTGTAAATTGCAGCTTAAAGTCTGAATTTTGCTAGGTAACAGTGTATGTAATGTGAACTTTGGAAGATCGCTAAAGTGATGTCTTTTTGCTTTCTATTTGAAGCAATATAAGACTCTCGAAGACTACATGGACAGTGCAGATTTCTTCCAAGATGAAAAAATGGACTGAGTGCTTGCATTCACCTTTTGAAGAAGGATTTAAAAAAGAATTTCCACAATGTGCTTCCTTTAGCCTGGTGATAATATGTGAAAATCATGCTATATTGAGTTACTTTTCTTTTTATTTCAAAGAGTTAGTAATATATATGCTTGCTGTTACAGATGCCACTAAGGTTTTTTCATATTTCATTTTAATTGTAAGAATAATCATGTAAAGTTTTTCTGTAGTATAACTCATCTCTTTTGTATTTTTGAATGTGATGTACTTCAGCTTAATGATACAAAAACAAAAACAGTTACTGAACAACCCAGGTGTTCTTCCAGGAATTAAAATTTCTATTCAGTGATACCCAAGTGAACTATGCCAATGTGTGGAAATGCTTGCAATTGTTCCTTTTATGGAGAAGTCTACACAGAGAAATCTTTACAAATTTTACAAGACATGCAATTTTCCTAGCATGCTACTTTAAATCTGCTATAAGGATCAAATGTTTTCCCCAGAATTCAGGGAAATAACAGATGGTTTTTATTTTTTTATTTTATTTTATTTTATTTTGATCTCTCAAAAGCCAGCAAGCTATCATTGCTTATGCATCCTGGAGGTCATGTATTTAACCAGCATACAGTGGTGCCCCGCATGACGACGATAATCCATTCCATAAAAATTGCTGTGTAGCAAAAACATAGTCTTGCAAAAACCATTTCCCCATTGGAATGCATTGAAACCTGTTTAATGCGTTCCAGTGGTTGTTCTGCGAAGATCGCCCATAGGGAAGCCATTTTGCGAAGCGCTGATCAGCTGTTAAAATGGCGGCCCTGCTAAGCATTGATCCCAAAAACACCCGTTTTGCAAAGCGCCGATCAGTGGCAAAATCGTCTTGCGAAAATCAGTTTGCGAAGCAGGGACCCAAACATCATCCAGCGAAAATTGCCCATTGGAATCACTGTTTTGCAAATCGCTATAGCGATTGCAAAACCTCATCGTCATGTGGATTCGTCATTTTGCGAGGTTGTCATCTAGCAAGGTACCACTGTAGTTGACTGAGAGATGAAAAATCTCTTAACACATTCATACAGAAGCAAAAAAGCAGTACCTATCTAGAAACAGAATCTTGGGCAAGATGGATTTTTGGTCTGACCCTAGACATCTGTACAGTACTTACACTGTTATGTTTGAAATCAACCCTGGCACCTCTCTTGTAGCTCAGATGCTGCAGCTCCTCTTATAGCAAGACCTAGACAGTTAAGGAAAGCAAAAACTAACACATTAGGTCCGGGAGCTCAGTTCAAAGTGCAACAATGCCCATACTTGCCATACATAAATTTTACTATTTAGATTTATCACAATTATTTTTTAAAATAAAGTAGAATAATGTCTGAAATCCTGTTGTTTATCATAGTAAGTCATGCGACAGAGCAGATCCATTGAATTGGCAGGGATTTGGTGAGTCTTGCTCCATAACATCCCTTGATTCAAATGGGCCTACTCTAACTACAACTTATGCTAAAGTTGCAACTACAGTAGGCGCATTTGAATCAGTAGAACATATGGAGGAACTGATTCACCAAATCTCCACTGATTTAAGTGGGCTTTCTGTACTGCTACTTATTACACTAATTAATGGGATTTTGATCCATGTGTGAGAAGTTAATTCTTCTTTAAAGACTGACAAGATTTACCACTCAGTTGTGCGGTACATTTTGGTGTACATAGACCACACCCATATTTATACTTGGTAAATAGGAGCATGTTCTGTATAAGGAGACTGTCTTTCATCACAGTAGTTTTTATTTTTTTTATGTGCTGTCGGAGAAGGCTTTCTTCTAGTCAAGCCCCTACCAGTGCATCTGAGGCTTCATCAGTACCCATAGTTGAAATATAGGGAGGGAGACAGCAGGGATGACCCCCCGCAACAATCATCCACACACACTCATAGTTAGTTGGGCGAGGGACTTCAAATCCCACTCACATGTGAACATGTTATGGGACTCAGCAGTGAAAGCCGTACTGTGGCACCAGAGCCTCCTTGCCCGTTGGTGCCTCTCGCCTGCCATGACACAATCACTTCCTTCATGCCAATACTTGCCAAGCAGAGTGAGGGGGGGTTGCAGTAATTAATGGTAATACCACACTCCTTTTTCATCATGTCTTTAGAGCCTCAAAGAAGGCACAGAGTAAGCCAAACATACCGTGAAGCCAGAACCTCAAATGTGACCGGTGTTGGCTGCTGTTTTCGCATTGTTTCATCAACATGTTGCTATGACATCATGTTAGTCAGTGCCAAGGAGAGAGAAAAAGAACACTTGTACTTGAGATGTACTCGGATTAAGCAAGAAATAGAGGACTTAGCTGCAATGCAGTGATGGCAAGCCTTTGATAGCAAAGTCGGGGAAAGATTCAGCTAGAAGTTTAAATGAGGATCTGGTTGCGAAAAGGGTATGCTAGAGATACATGTGAAGGACATCATCAGAGCACAAGTGCCAAGGAGAGAGAAAAAGAACACTTGTACTTGAGATGTACTCGGATTAAGCAAGAAATAGAGGACTTAGCTGCAATGCAGTGATGGCAAGCCTTTGATAGCAAAGTCGGGAAAAGATTCAGCTAGAAGTTTAAATGAGGATCTGGTTGCGAAAAGGGTATGCTAGAGATACATGTGAAGGACATCATCAGAGCCCACAACTGAACACACCCACACAAATTCAAAAACTATGCATGGTAGGAAGCCAAATGCTAAGAAACCAGAGTGCACACTAGAGTAGTTCATCATGTGCATCTTATTGGTTCAAAGGGGGCATAAAAAACAGTTCACAGTGAAAGATCATCTTGTGCTTGTCAACAAGGATACAAAAGCACTTTGCAAAGCTACACAATAATGAATCCCCATTTGTGTTCCCTCGCTGTTTAAGAAGGATACAAGAGTGGACCAAGTTTTGGGTAAAACTGCTAGATAAAGAGCCTGGAACGGGCTTAGATTTCCATTCCCCCCTTCAAAAAAAAAAAACCTTGAGAATTAATCTGCATTTTAGTCCAATTCATACAACTATTTCATGTACTGATTTTTCAGTTCATGCATATCTGATTGCACAACTGAATTCCTCCTTTTGTACAACCAAGTACACATTTTATTTTAGCACCTATACGCCCATTTGGCTGTCACTGAAAAGGGCTCAAAAGCAGGATTGTTCACCAAGCTACAAGTGCATCTAGTAAATGAACATGTTAACAAAGGACCACGTAACGTTGATGTTCAAATGAACATGTTAACAAAGGACCACGTAAGGTTGATGCTCTGACTGGAAAATGACTTAGCGGTTCACCTGTTGGTACCAAAATGGTGTGGGGAAAAATACAAAGGAGAACAAATTCTGGATTCGATAACCTCCGACACATCATGTTGGGAAAAATTATATAACCATGAAAACAAAATAAAACTATGAGAACATAAGACTGGTCACAAGCAGACAGAAAAATTTAAATGACTTCTTCATTTAGGATGATAATTTAAATCTCGCATATACTTGTGAGATAAAATTATCTTAACAGATAGAAGTCTCCTGCCGGTTTCAGCCACTACTGTCCTTCTGATAACAACACGCTTGAAGGGCGTGCAAGACAGTTTTTCCGCTCTTGAAGTTGTGGTACCCGCACCGTGGAACTCTTCATCCTAAGTGATTCAGAAAGCTCTTTCAATGTTAGCATTTTGTTGTCTGCTGAAAATGCTGATATTGAGACAGCATTTTGAGATGAAGAATAATGTCTATTGGTGCTCTGCTTTCTGTTGTGTATTGCTGTTGCATTGTCTTTTTTTAAAAAAAGATCTTGATCTTTAAAAACAGATTTTAAAGCTGCTTTTGAATAATGTAATTTTTGAGCTAGAAAACAGATATTTTGCAGGGTAGTACATGGTAGGCTTTGTTTGGTCAAGATTACGTAGCTTGGGAATTAGCACGCCATGGCAGACAAAGCTGCCCACTTCCGTTTTCTTCTTTATTTTCTCCACCACTAAGGTATTGCGTGGCTTTACACAAACACATTTTCTACATGGAAGCCAACTTGTGTATACTTAACTGCATGAGCTACACAGATGCTTTCTTGCATGTTGCAAACAGGCGTGCACATCTTTGCCGCTTGGGCATAGGACAGGAAGACACTGTGGCTTTGCCCCAGCAGGACCAGCTCTAGCATTAGGCAGAAGGTGCCAGCTCTCAGATTTTACAAAAAGCAGATAATACTTTAATATTATTTTCTGCCAAGGATAGAAATAGATGTCGCAGGATTTTCTGCCTGGTGTGCCAAAAAAACGCGGCTGGTGAAGGCTTCTGGGGGTTTTAGTCCAAGAACACCAGGGACCCGAGTTTGGATTTAAGTACCGTACTATGCGTATGAAAGGAGTGTAGTGGAGAAAGGAGTTGCAGGATCAAGGCTCCAGGATTTTCTGGGTAGCAGGGATTGTGACATCATCTGCCACCCTGCTCGAGTTTCTTTCCACCATCGGAACTTAACTGCTATCCTCATAACAGCTGAGACGGAAATTGATTTTCCTAGGGACTGACTTTCCCCCAAACAGTATATTACAAACGATCCCCACTGCCTCATAGCACAGTGGTTTAGGGCTTTGTATGCCAACACCATCACCTTGAAACTGGCACGGAAACAGATAGGTAACCAGTGCAGGGTAGCCAGAGCAGGGGAAATATAGTGATATTTCTTCACTCCACTCAATAGTCTGGGCCTGCTGAAGTTTCTTCTTAGGCAGCCTCATACAGAGCGCATTACAGTGGTGCCCCGCATGACGACGATAATCCGTCCCATTGAAATCGCTGTTTAGCGAAATTGTCATGCGAAAACCCTTTCCCCATTGGAATGCATTGAAACCCAATTTAATGTGTTCCAATGGGGAAAATACCTCATCGTCTAGCAAAGATCGCCCATAGGGAAGCCATTTTGCAAGCACCGATCAGCTGCAAAAATGGCTGCCCTGCGAAGCATAGGTCCAGAAAACACAGGGCAGCCATTTTGCGAAGCCGACGGTCACCGGAAAATCGTTGTCTTGCGAACAAATGGTTCACGAAGCACGGACCTAATCAATGTCCAGCGAAAATCCCCCATAGGAATGACTGTTTTGCAAATCGCAAAATCAAGGCAGTGTGACGCAGCTGGGCAATCTGCCTCAAATGAAAATAGGCTGAGTGGACCACAGATGCTATCTGGGACTCTGCTGATAGCAATGGATCCAGAAGTACACCCAAGCTGCAAACCTCGTCCTTAGAGAGTGGCCTCCCCAAAGGAGAGGGAGGCCCTCAAGCTGCAGACACTAGGGGCACCCACCGATGGGACTTCCATCTTAT